ATTTTTACAAGTATAATTTATGGGTGACGAAGAAATTGAGGTAGACCGTCGCTGCCAATTTATCCAGGGAGTTGAGAGAGACACAGTGTTCAAAATTCAAAGATTCTTGCATGAACGTAACATTTTAGTCAAAACATTTAAAACTGCTTTAGAAAACCTACCTGAAGAGGATTATAAAGTCGTCATTCACGCAGATCGGACCCCTCGAGGAGAGCATGAAAGGCGCTACAATGCACCTTTGATAAACGAAATAGCAGCCGTAATTAGTGGTGATCAATTTTCTTCACAAGACATTGTCTTGCGAGCACGTGATGATACGTTGCAACGGGTAGCCGATACACACAAGTTTTATGACACTCTACAATACCCATTGATTTATTACAAAGGACAAGAGGGTTATCATTTTCAAATTCCACTCATTAACCCGGTCACAAAGGAGCCTACTCCGAACAAAAAAGTATCATGTATGGAGTTTTATGCGTATCGCTGATGTTGCGAGAAAATGATTTTAACCTCTTAGCCCGGTGTAGACAATTATTTCATCAATTTTTGGTAGACATGTATGTGAAGGTAGAAAGTGAACGTCTCCGTTATATATCTTTAAATCAAAACAAAGGTGCGCGTTGAGAATTATATACATTTACAAGATGCAGTTTCTAGCGACGCCAATGTAAACCCCAGAGATTTAGGTAAAATGGTAATTCCGCCCTCATCATTCGTTCACAGTCCCCGCTACCTAAATGAGTACACACAAGACGCATTCGCCTATGTACGAACTTACGGAAGACCTGATCTTTTTGTTACTTTTACTTGCAATCCCACATGGAAAGAAATTACCGAGGAGCTAATGCCGGGCCAAAAAAATATGGACAGACACGATTTAGTTGCTAGAGTATTTAGGTTAAAAGTACAAAAATTAATGATGTAATTAACAAAGGGAAAATTTTCGGAGAGGTGCAGTGCTTCATGTATTCAATTGAATGGCAAAAAAGAGGATTACCGCATGCCCACATTCTAATATGGCTTAAAGAGAAGTTGCGGCCTAGCCAAATAGACGACATAATAAGCGCCGAGATTCCGGATCCTGAGCAAGATAAAGAATTGTATGATACCATCGTCCGAAATATGATTCACGGTCCATGTGGAGCACGAAATTCAATATCGCCATGTATGAAAGAAGGAAAATTTACAAAGAAATTCCCTAAACAGCTATTAAAAGAAATGCAAAATGACAATGGCTACCCTTTATACAGACGCAGAGGTCCCGAAGATGGTGGCAGGAAAGTTACAAAGTTACAATCAAATCTCGCTCTGGAACGTTCGAAACCTTAGATAAGAGCTAGATTGTCCCGTATTCGCCCATTCTATGTAAAATGTTTAATGCCCACATTAATGTAGAAGCATGTAGCTCTGTCCGCGCAAACAAGTATATCTGTAAGTACATAAATAAAGGAAGCGACCAAGCAATATTTAATCTCAGGAGTGAAGGTGAGGCAAATCCCGTTAATGAAGTACAGACCTTTCAAGCAGGGCGTTATGTCAGCAGTAACGAGGCAGCGTGGCGTCTCCTTGGCTTTCCTTTACACGAAAGGCACCCAACAGTTACTCACCTTGCTGTGAACTTAGAAAACGAAGAGTGTGTATAATTCACCGAAAGAAATTTCCAAGAATTGCATCACCGCCAAAAACTACACTAACAGCCTTCTTTCAACTTTGTCAAGCCGACCCCTTTGCAAAAACGTTGTTATATTCTGAAGTCTCCCGCTATTATACTTGGAACACATCTAGGAAGGAGTGGAAACGCCGTACTCAATGTGTGTCTGTTGCAAATTGGCCCGGTGTAAAGTCATCAGATGCCCTTGGTCGTGTGTATACCGTCCATGTAACTAATTTTGAATGTTTCTGTTTACATAATGATTTCTTATATTTACGCGAACACTACACATTGAAATAATACTAATTTTTACGGAATTTATCGCGTATATTTAACTTTTTTTACCCGACGTTTCGAGAGCTTTACAGCACCCATGGTCACGGGAAGGACTGAGATGTTCAACGTCCAGCTGTCATAGTTAACCGCGGTTACCATAGATTAAAATTTAACTTTTGTTCCGATCTACACAGTATGAACTTATGGTATCATGGAGTCTTGCAGTTGTATGCTTGGGTTGGGATTTAATTTTATTTATTATAGGATCCCAAACAGATGGTAGCACCCAGCCATCTTCTCTATTGAAATTAGGATGTTTTTTGATTTCAATAGCCTCGCGAATCATCCTTGGAAGGAATCGGTGTTCTTTAGCGAGGATTTGTGGTCTATCAAATCTGATGTAGTGACGGGGGCGATCCTGTACATGTTCACAGACTGCAGACTTCCCGGAGCGTCGATTCTTCACATCAGCTATATGTTCTTTGACGCGGGTTTTAATTGATCTTTTAGTTTGTCTATGTAGGAGAGACCACATTCACAATCAAGCTTGTACACTCCTGCATCTTGCAGAGGGACGTTACACTTGACTGATGGTAAAAACTGACCAATCTTCTTCGGCGGCTTGAAGTATGTTTTGATGGAAGCGCGCTTCAAGATGTAGCCAATCTTGTCAGTGACTCCTCTAACATATGGCAGTACAGCAGGTACACGCTCGACTGTGGCCGGCTTCACTCGTTCTCTGTGACGTAGGCGCGGGACCCGAAGCTTGTTGTCATGCAAAACTTGCTTGACATGTTGGAGCTCGGCAGCCAGGTGTTTACTGTCACAGATCCCTCGTGCTCTCTGAAACAAAAGATTTACCCACGGTAGCTAACTGTGATTCTCACCACCATCCTTCACAGTTAGCTACCGTGGGTAAATCTTTGTTTCAGAGAGCACGAGGGATTTGTGACAGTAAACACCTGGCTGCCGAGCTCCAACATGTCAAGCAAGTTTTGCATGACAACAAGCTTCGGGTCCCGCGCCTACGTCACAGAGAACGAGTGAAGCCGGCCGCAGTCGAGCGTGTACCTGCCGTACTGCCATATGTTAGAGGAGTCACTGACAAGATTGGCTACATCTTGAAGCGCGCTTCCATCAAAACATACTTCAAGCCGCCGAAGAAGATTGGGCCGGTTTTTACCATCAGTCAAGTGTAACGTCCCTCTGCAAGATGCAGGAGTGTACAAGCTTGATTGTGAATGTGGTCTCTCCTACATAGGACAAACTAAAAGATCAATTAAAACCCGCGTCAAAGAACATATAGCTGATGTGAAGAATCGACGCTCCGGGAAGTCTGCAGTCTGTGAACATGTACAGGATCGCCCCCGTCACTACATCAGATTTGATAGACCACAAATCCTCGCTAAAGAACACCGATTCCTTCCAAGGATGATTCGCGAGGCTATTGAAATCAAAAAACATCCTAATTTCAATAGAGAAGATGGCTGGGTGCTACCATCTGCTTGGGATCCTATAATAAATAAAATTAAATCCCAACCCAAGCATACAACTGCAAGACTCCATGATACCATAAGTTCATACTGTGTAGATCGGAACAAAAGTTAAATTTTAATCTATGGTAACCGCGGTTAACTATGACAGCTGGACGTTGAACATCTCAGTCCTTCCCGTGACCATGGGTGCTGTAAAGCTCTCGAAACGTCGGGTAAAAAAAGTTAAATATACGCGATAAATTCCGTAAAAATATAGTATTATTTCAATGTTTCTGTTTACGATTGCTGCTGCACCATGTTCGGGGTCCTACATGATATAAAGAGCTTAAAACTGTCTACGGTCAGGAATGCACAACTTATAGAGAAGCATCTGAAGCTCTGCATCTTTTAGAAAACGATAATCACTGGGATGAAATCGTGGAGGAAGCTGTGCAGTGCCAGTCACCAGCCAAAATTAGGGATCTTTATGCAACTCTTATATCATCTTGCGGGCTATCTAATGCACATGAATTGTGGGACAAATATAAAGAGTACACGGCGGAAGATATTTTGCGAAGGTTACAGTAGATACACGCGAAAATGACATACAATGAACACATTTATAATGAAGCGCTTGGAAAAATTGAAGATAAAGTAATTGTAAAAATTGAAGATAAAGTGGTAGGCAAAAAATTAAGCGACTTTGGAATGATAAGCCCTCAGCGATCAACCGAAAATGAAATAAGTGATGAAATTATACGTGAGTAATGAGGGGAGGCCAGTGCCCAGGAGTGGGACACATATAGGCTGTAACTTTACTTTAGTTTCCTCTCAAAGAATCAATGTTTGTTAAAAAAATCCAGCTTTACATTACAAAAAATGCCAAATAATTAAAATACGAGTAAATTAACACTGAGCATATGCTCAGATTTAATGTTTAAAATTAATTTGTTTTGATGTGATATATTAATAATTAATGTACTTATGATGTATGTATCGATGTATAGATATAGTAATATAACCTATTAATAAAAAGCTATTTTACTTATACAAACGCATATATCAATTTATTTTACAAAAATAAAAAATAAAACAAAAAACAAAAAAAGAATGCTAGCAAAATTTTATTAAAAGTCTCAAACAAAGGTGATAGCGGAGCGCGGTGGTGGGCGTTCCCGACTCGGCTCGAACTTTCGAAAGTTAGCAAGTGTCGTTAATATGTGCGTGTTGTGGCTCGTGCGTACGAGTCCGTACGTACTGTCTAGGTATGAGCATTATAACGTATAGACAGTTATGAAAACGTCTATTTACTTTATAACGTTTAGATAGTTATACATAACACGGATAAATATCTATTTCTTGTAACGATTTGCAACGCAACGCACAGAGTTATACATATAACACTCACTCATAACCGTCTATTTCTTGTAACGATCCGCAACGCATAGAGTACCTTTGAACCGCAACGCTACAACGTTGCGTTGACTTGGAACGGGCCGGATTGCGATATTTATTTATATTTATTTTATTATAACCGTAAAACCCTTAAGATACGCACTGTATTGCATAGTAAGGCACAAACACTACTTATAATTTCATTCTAGATCCGGCAAATTCTCGTCATTCGAATCACTTTCCAAATCATCAAATGACGGCTTTTTGTCACCGGAACCTTTGTTGCTGCCCATAGCCTGCAACATCGACGATAAATCCAAAGCGTCGCCGCCGCTTTCTTCTACTTCTTCGTCATCCTCATCACGCCATTTATTAAAGTCTATTTTTAAATAATGTGGTTTCTTTCCATCGCATAGTAGCGACGGCCAAAAACGACTAGATGTATTTTCTTTTTGGAGCACTATTTCTATGCATCGGCCTTTATTTACGAAATTGCTCTTTTCTGGAATCACATCAGAGTGTAAAGGTATTGATACCTCATATACTTTATTGTCTCGCACATTTACACCTTTAAAATATAACATCAGTTTTTTTTGCGCCCGAAGCAATTGGAAAGGGCTACCCTTTATGTAGGGAGGCGGAAAATGCATTACGCATACCACGATAGCCGGTCTATCGTGGTTATGAGGGACTCACTGCCTACCGGGGGGAACCTAAGTGATACCCTCTAAAAACCGCCTATGGGGACTGGCAACTATCTGTTTAAGCTTCTTATGCCGTATCGGAAGCGACCCTCTTTTGGGAAAAGAGGGCGCAGGCGGCTATGAACCGCTGAGGGAGTGCCTACGAAGGCAAATTAATTATGAATAATTTAATTAGAGTTCGCCTGAGCCGCCAGGAGACAGTTCAGGTCGTTTGACAGTTTATTAGGCGTATCCGAGTGAGAGTTTCTCGGCCTGCGGACTCAATAGCGAGAGGGGGGTGGGGCTGCATCAGTAGCTGCCTCACGAATAAGATGATTGGAGTGCGACTCAGAAGCTTTGAAGAAGTTCTCAGAGAGTTTTTTTGAGAAATTGTTGAATTGTAGGGAGCTCTAGATCCCGATGAAGGTCGGCATTACGGACGTACCAAGGTGCGTTCGCAGCTCGACGACAGAAAAGGTTTTGAACTATTTGGAGTTCATTAATAATTTTAGGGTCGGCGTGGACAAAAATGAGGCCCGCGTAGGACATGACTGGTCGTATACAGACCTTATAAAGGGTACGCTTGTTTCTGAGGGACATTTTACTGTGTCGGCCCAACATACTGTTGAGCCTACTCAGGTAAAAACGAGCGTGACGGGATACTCTTTTGACGTGGGGCCTGAAAGTGAGCCTTGTGTCTAGAGTGACACCTAAATATTTGGCAGACGTATGCTAGGGGACAGGGGTCCCTAGCATACGTATTGGTGGAGTGTTTTTGAGACGGCGTCGTTTATAATCGAAGTGAACGGCGGAGCTCTTCTCCAGGTTCAATCGATGCGCCATTTTTTGAACCAAGCTCCTAGGTTGTCAACTGACTTTTGAACCTTGTTCCGTATGAAAGTTAGCGAGATACCTTTACAGTAAATAGCAGTGTCGTCTGCGAAGAGGGAGAGCTGAACACCTTTCGACGGGATGGGAATGTCGTTGATGAACAGGATGTACAGCAGAGGAGCAAGTACTGATCCCTGAGGGACACCAGCTTTGATAGGGCGCTGTGAAGATAGCGTGCCTTCGTGTCTAAAACGAAAGGTACGATGCTTTAGATAAGAGGCCACGAGACGTACTAGACGATCGGGGAGACCTATTTTGTATAGCTTGTAGATAAGGCCTGTATGCCAGACTCTATCAAAGGCTTTAGCTATGTCCAAAAAGATCGCGATGGTCTTATGACGACGAGGATAAAAACCGCTGAGGATATATTCCACAATGCGGTGAACTTGTTGGGGACATGAGTGTTGGGCTCGGAACCCAAATTGATGGGGAATGATAAGAGGGTCACCGTCTGTGGGAAACAGATAGCGCCTCATACGTGATTGGATGACTCTTTCGAAAAGCTTGCCCATGGCCTTGAGGTGGCTAATGGGGCGATGACCAGAGGGGAGGTTGAGAGGCTTGCCTGGCTTGGGAATACCAATCACAGTTGCCTCTTTCCACGTAGTGGTAAAGTAACTAAGGTTGAAGCAGGCGTTGAAGATAATAGATAAAAAGGTTAACACCTGCTCAGGAAAGTGTTATAGGGCTTGGTTGGAGATGCCATCCGCGCCGGAGCCTTTTTGGGCTTAAGTCCTTTGATGAGGGATGAAATCTCATCATTGGACACAGAAATAGGTTCGGAGGCTGTAGGGGGTGAGTTCCGGCGGCGGACCTCATCCTCCACTGCCTGGACGTGTGAGGGGTCGACGGGTTGAGAGCTAGGAGAGCATTGTGTGGCAATGCTATATGCAAAGCACTCAGCCTTTTCCTCGTCCTCGAAGGCAACCGTACCGTCGGGACGGGAGAGAGGGGGAGTGTGGGTGATAGCGTCTATGCGGAGGACTCTAGCCATCTGATAGTACGCTGTATGAGATGGAGAGATATTCTCCATGAGTTTACTCTTTTCGAGGTCTCGAAATTCAGAGAGGCGGAAACGGAGTTCTCGTTGAAGACGATTGGCCGTGCGCCTATATTCGGGGGTGGGATAGTATGCTGCTCTCCGGAGAGCAGCTTTCTTGGCTTTTAATAGGTTGCTAATATGTTGGGAAAGCCATAGCAATATAATAATAATAGCAACCGGGATGACCCTTTCGTTCTCCTTAAGGGAGGATTTAATAAGGGTGGAGAGTGAATCGACCGTGGTGTCGATTTTTTCGGGACTGTCTAAGTCCGACGGTAGGGAGATGGTAGAGTCCTGTGAGTCCAAAGATTTAGCTAGGGACTCCTTGAATCCCTTCCAATTAGTGAAGGTTTTCGTGTGTGTTGGGGGAGGTGGCTGATGGCCAAGAATGAGGGAGACCGGTCGGTGATCGGATCCTAGATCGTCTAGTGTCTCGATTGCCCTGAGGTTGAGAGAAACTCCTTTGAGTAACGCAAAATCTAGTACATCGGGGGTGTGATCGGTGTTATCGGGAAAGTGAGTAACACCGAGGGGACTATGGACGGTAATATCAAGAGACTGCGTGATATCGAGCAGTATCTTGCCACTAGGGGAGGTAGTACGGCATGTCCATTCAGTATGCTTGGAGTTAAAATATCCAAACATAATGACTGAATTGCCTAAAGATAAAATTGCCTCAAAATCTTTTTTGAGGGGATGGGTTCTTGAAGGGATGTAACAGGAGTCTACGAGGATGGACTGATGTCCAGTCATAGCTAGCTTGCATACCGTGGCTTCCATGTTGGTAAGCTGCGGAGTAGAAATGGGCGAGCAGTGAAGTTTCTTCTTGTAATAGTTGGCCGTTCCGCCGCCTCGGCGGTCAGGTCTGTCATTACGAAGAAGAGAGAAGTTTTTAATAGAAAGGCCTTTAGTGTCCTTAGTTTTGAGATTAGTTTCCTGTAGGAGAAGGAAATCGGCTTCACGATTTCGAAGAAAGAGCTTAAGCTCTGGGAGGTTATTTCGCAAACCGCGAATATTAAAGGATACAAGCGATAAACCCTTAGGTTTGATACGACCGTGAGACTTTGGTAGAGCAAACTGCTCTGTCATTGTGAAGTTAAGTTAATTAAGTTAACTTAACTTAACTTACAACGAGCACAAAAAATTATGATGCTCTGTAAGAGCGAGGAGACGGTCCTGAGGGGACCTCGCAGCGCGCAATTTACGTGCTACCACAGCGATTTCCCCAACGTCGATGTTCCTAATAGCGGAATACAACGTCTTTAGGTCATCAATTGAGGGCTGCGATTGTTATGGAGCGGAGGTTGTCCGCGGTGGGTCTGCCTTTTTGGGGCCCCAGGGAAAGACTAGAGGCTGTATAGGCTTAGAGAAGCCCGGAGGGGGCCGAATAATGCCCTGAGGGGCCTACGGGGACCCTGAGAGGGCCGAGATAAGCCCTGAATGGACTGAGAAAGGCCCTGACGGGGCCGTTGGTAAAGAGCCGAGAATGAGCGGCCATTGGCCGGCGGTGGAGCTTGCCTACTGGGGCGAGGATGAGGTGCGCAAGGGCAGCCTCTGTAGTTTGCCGGGTGGCCTGTTTGTTTACACAGGACATATGCGGGTGGGGATTCGGCGTCTTTGGGCCAAGAACACTCTTTGGTGTTGTGGGGTTCAAGGCACTTAACGCACCTGGGTGGGGCGGAGCAGTTGGCCACTGCATGACCATATTGCTGGCTGCGGTGGCACTGCGCCGGGAACGCGCGCCTATGTGGGGGCTCAACCCTCACTCTCGATAGGCCACACACTGTGAGTACCTGCCGGAAATGGCTTTTGCCTCCTGCACGTTGGATAATATGACTAGGGCAAGATTGAACCTCGGCCCGTTCTGCTGTGCATTTTGTGCACGGCTTCTACGGGGAAACCTTGGGACTTAAGGTCCTCAAGAATTTCCTCGTTGGAGAATTCGAAGGGGACGCCTCGGATGACGGCCCTGACTTTACGCTCTTCCGGAAGAGCGTACGTATGATACGAAACTCGTTCGGCTGTGAATAGCCTGGTGAGTTGACGGAAGTCATCGATCGAATTGGGGATGATTTTAATAGTCTCCTCGAGGTTGATGGCGTGGTCATATTTAATGCCTGCGTCGTAGCAGGTTTTCGATAATCGGAGCACAGCGAGAGGCTGGCTTGGTCGGAGCGGGGATGTCTAGTGACATAAGTGGGGCCGAGGCAGCGGCGGGGGCTGCGGGGGCAAAGGCAGCGTCGGGAGCTGCGGAGGTTGTAGGAGCGGCAGGGGCCGCTGAAACAGGGAGGGTGCGTGTTTTCGTGGCGCGTTTACCAACAAGGAATAACAGAGAATTAACAAAAATCAACAATAAAACAATAACAATAAAGATAACAATAAAGTAACAGTAACAAGCGGAGGTCAGTCAAACCTCCCCGCCCGAAGACAGGGGGGCAAGAACTGTTAGCGTAAATGACTCACCAATGCGTCGACGCTGTACAGCGCGTGCAGGACAACGTAGGCGCGAGAGCGAGATACCACTACCGTACGGGGACGAGAGCGCGGACTACCTGAACACGACCGCTCGAGAGCGGTGCCACAGGCGGAATCCTGCTGATAACATCAGGCACTCACTGCCGTACAAAAACAAATGATATGCCGTAACGATAAGAACAAAACTGTAGCGGGCTCCATGTTGAAACATGTAGGTGAGCGAAGCGAAATTCGAGAAATTAGTTTATTTATTTTTCATATAGATACTTGTATATCTATTTCAACATGGCAATGTATCTCTAACAAAGCACTTTAAACCTTGTGCGTTTATTATTAATTTCTACAGATTAATACGGTTTTTTATCATGTATAGAAAAATAACACTTGTTCCCTAAAATTTAAGGATTAAAACGCATTAATAGCCTTGACCTCGTTACGACGAAATATTATTACTGATCATCTGTCTGAAGCTAGGGATGGGTCGTTATGTGTT